CACCTTCAAAGAAACCGTCGAAAAGCTGGCAAAACTTTTTGGTTCGCAAAAGTCTCTTTTCAACATGCGCTATCACTGCCTGTAGATAACCAAAGATGCTACCACAGATTTTTTAACGTACGCAGGCAACGTCAATAAAGTTTGTAAAAATTTTCAACTTAATAAATTAACGCTAGACCAATTCAAGTGTTCAATTTTCAGCATGGGGTTAAAGACTCCAGCGGATTTGGAGGTTAGAACCAAGTTGCTGACAAGACTAGACAGCGGCGAAGAAACCCTTACACTTAACAAGTTATCAGCAGAGTGTAAGCGGTTACTAAATCTAAAGGCAGACACAGCATTAATCGAAAACAAAAATGAGACACGCACAGTCAACAAGTGGCAGGCCACGGCGAAGAACCACAACAAGCGAGTTCCAAAAACACCGTGTTGGTTTTGCGGCGGTATGCATTATACATCCGAATCTCCATTCAGTAAGCATAAATGCAAACACTGCAACCATGTGGGGCACAAGGAAGGCTATTGTGATTCCGGCAAACCTTGCAAAAATCAAAAACAAAAACCTTTATACTTGAAACGCACGGACAAGGCAACAAAAATAAACAGCAAAAACCAAGGTGAAGGATCAACAATCAACATCATATTTGTTACTAAACAAATCTGTGTAGCAAATCGCAAATATATTCGCGTGCAAATAAACAATTTCCCGGCTGATCTTCAATTCGACACAGCTTCAGATATTACGGTCATATCTGAAGACATTTTTCGACGGCTTAACGTGAACAATATGACGAAAGTCAGCAATACGGCTCGTAGCGCAACTGGCAAACTCCCATTATCAGCACAATTTCAATGCACTGCTAAATTCAAGGGTAAGCAAGCATCGGCAACATGTACTGTTACACCCATTCAAAATCTGAATATCATGGGGTTAGTCTGGATTACAGCATTGAAACTCGATAATGAGCCAATCAATGCAATTTCAAAAAATCGACAAAGAATCGTTCAAAAATCAGGGACGTACAAGTATTTCAATTGATAAAAGCATTTCACTGCTGAAAAAATCATTTCCAGCTGTTTTTGATGACGAGCTCTGTCTTTGCACCAAAGCAAAAGCGCATCTTACGATCAAGCCAAATCAACAGCCTATTTTTCGCCAAACGCGACCAGTCGCTTATGCCATACAATGACTCGTAGAAGCCGAACTACAGCGTCTTCAAGACATAAATGTGATCACTCCAGTCAACATTTCAGACTGGGCTGCTCCAATTGTGGTGACGAGGAAAGCAACTGGTGGCGTGCGAATATGTGGCTACTTTTCAACTGGCTTAAACAACGCTGTAGAAATGCATCAATACCCTCTGCCGTTACCTGATGATCTCTTCGCGCGATTGGCCAAGGCTAAATTTTTTAGCCACATTGACCTCTCAGACGCTTTTCTGCAAGTTGAAGTGGACGACGAGTCGAAACACCTTCTCACCATAAACACCCACCTGGGACTTTTTCGGTACAACCGAATGATTTGCGGCGTCAAAACGTTTCCGACTATATTCCAGCAAATTATGGATAAAATGTTGTTCGGGCTCACGGGAGTAGCGGCATACATAGACGACATATTCGTAGCGGGCCAAAGTCGAGAGGATCATGACGAGAAATTAGAAGCCGCATACACGAGTTCGGTTTCAAACTAAAATTTGACAAATCCACGTTCTCTTCAAAACAAATAAAATATCTGGGCTTTATTATAAATGAAGAGGGCATACAGATAGATCGCACGCGCATAGCAGCAATAACCCAAATGCCCGAACCAAAAGATGTATCCGAATTACGATTATTTCTTGGAGCAATAAACTTTTATGGCAAATTCTTCAATAATTTACGCACCTACAGAGGACCACTGAATGAATTACTGAAATCCAACACCAAATGGCACTGTTCTCAGAAACAAAGCAAATGTTTCGAAAAACATAAAAACCTGCGCTCTTCAGATTTTTAAGCTTCAAACTACGGCCTCGGTGCATGCATCTTGCAAGAGTACCCGGATGGTTCGATGAAAGCAATATGCCATGCTTCACGCTCACTCACGGCGGCTGAAAAATCTTATAGCCAAATCGAAAATGAGAGGCTGGCCATAGTTTTCGCGCTCACGAAATTTCACAAAATGATTTTGGGCCGAAAATTTAAGCTACAACCAGACCATAAACCCTTACTCGCGATTTTTGGCAACAAGAAAGGCATCACAGTACATCGAGCAATTCGATTGCAGCGTTGGGCTATAAAATTATTAGCTTATGACTTCGACATAAGCTACGTATCCACGAACAATTTTGGCCATGCAAACGTTCTATCGCGTTTAATAGATAAACACGTAAATCCGTCAGAAGACTACGTAATAGCCTCTATTAATATTGAAGTTGAAATTCGGCAAATACTTACAGACTCAAGAACAATTATGCAATACGTAAATGACGGATGGCCGTAATGAAGCAAGACAATTTTTAAATCGCAAAAATGATCTCCATGTGGTTGATGGATGCCTCATGTTTGGAAATCGCATCGTGATCCCGACAATACTGCGCAAGAGGGTTCTAAAGCAACTTCAGAAAGGACACCCCGGCGTCGAACGTACAAAATCCATAGCAAGAAGTTTTGTTTATTGGCCTAACATCGATACTGATATTGATTCCCACAAAGACACATCTACAACCATGGCCTACTCCATCGGAAGCTTGGGAACGACTTCACATTGACTACACTGGCCAATTAGACAATACGTACTTCTTTATCATTGTAGACACATATTCAAAGTGGCCCGAGATAATCCCCACAGCCAATATTTCGAGCAACAAAACAATCGAAATGTTAAATGAAGTTTGTCGCAGACTGGGCATACATAAATTCAACGTCTCCGATAACGGAACCCAATTTGTTAGCACCTACGCTCCAGTCCATACTATCCAATGTCGAACGGCCAAGCTGAACGATTTGTGGATACGTTCTAAAGAGCCTTAAAGAAACTAGGAGGAGAGGGTACCACAGTCCAAAATTTACAATCATTTCTACAATGTTATCGGTCAACTCCAAATAAAAACACACCGAAACACACATCACCAGCAGAAGCCTTATTCGGACGAAATATACAAGTACCATTAAATTTGATATTGCCTAGCCAACCTATACCAACCGGATCAGACACCGACCAGCAAAAACAAAACATACGAAAACAATTTAATCAAAAACATGGTACTAAATACTCAGCTTTTGAACCACTGCAGACCGTTTATGTAGTTGTACATTCTTGTAACAAGTTTGACTGGAGACCTGCTCAAATCATTGAAAGAGTTGGAGCGGTTATGTACAACGTAAGATTAGAAAACGGAAAAGTAATCCGTGCACATTCAAACCAAATCCGCAAAGGCTACATTGACGAGACTCATACAGGGGAGCCGAGATACAAGTTCTCACTGGCAGAAGCGTTTGGATTACACGACGTAATTGAATCCTCCGGGTACCATTCCCAAGTAACGGACACTCTGACCAAATCGATACCGCGGCGACTTCAAGTAACCCAGTCGAGGGTCCACCACAACCTCAAGCTACTGCGGCAGCAGATTTTGTTACATGCGAAACACCTAGACGGACTACACGAAAACGTAAACCTGTGAAAAGATACTCACCAGACTAAAAAAAAAACTCATCTTGGTAGACATCATCATTCAACAGGAGAGATGTTGGATTAAAATACAACTCTGCTCACGTACAATTAGACATACATTCATCATACATTTATTATATGACATATAACTGTCAAATAGCAAGAGCAACACCGAATGCGCACGTGTCGAGCAGACAGCTCCTTTCCAGAATCGTTCTTTTCTTTTTGTATATTTTATAGTTTAAAGAAAGGATTATACTAACTTTAAAGAAGCGTATCACAAAATAAAGCGCGCAAAAAGATGGGACTTGGCCATCGTTTCGATTCGCGCTGCAGCTTCAAGGATCTATGTGGCATGCTTTGTGCTTTTCATACAACTCATCCTATCTGTCAAAGCGAATCTGTCACGTAAAGCGAAGCAAAAGTTTTATGTGGCATCAGCTTTAGAATCTTAAATCCGGGTAGTAGTGCACTTTAGCGGAACTAGGTCAAAATGGACGGAAAAATTCGAGAGTGGTATCAATCGACGCGTCTTGACGCCAACAATAAAAATCCGAGAAATTAACAGCTTTAGTTCATTAAAGAGTTATTTGCAAGAAACACTTGCACTTTTCGCAGCATGTTTTGATGCAAATAAATCTAATAGGTTAAACGTCAAAGCCGACGGACGTCTTTTTTGATCGGTCGTCGAAAAGTGTCAAAAGACACATATTAGCGAGAGTTTAAATTACGTGCATATTGGTACAAGGGTTTAAAACTTTTAAATATTTTTGCGAAAGTGATGTATACAAATAAACACTATTAATATTACTAAAATAAATATACGCAACCAAAAAAACTTACGTACACAAAATTCTACCAACGTTCGCTGTTATAAGCAAATAGAAAGTAGCGGTGAGTGGGAGAATGACGGAGTGCGAAAGATGCCGAAAGGGCATCAGAGGAGAAACCAGTGTGAGCTGTGCTGGTGTGTGTGGGAGAGTGTACCACAAAACAATTACGTGTGCACAAATAGACGATTACTGTTTGCAAGGGTTGGCAAATTGTAAGTTTTCGCGCTTCATGTGTGATGACTGCATGACTTACATTTTTAATGTGGATGATGCTCTCAAACAAATGATGAGCATAGCTGAGACTAACAAAATTAATATAATAGAGCAAAAAAGCGATATCGAAATATGCTAAGCGAACATAACAAATAAATAAGAAGTTTGATGGATAACATCAAAAAAACTAACCAAAAGAAATTAGAACTAATAAAGAGGGTAGAACGTCTGTGCAAGACCAACAAAGATCAAATCTCAAAAGTAGATGCTCAACTACTGAGATATGCAAGCAAAAAGATGGCATTACTGCGGAAGTTAAGAAAGCTGCATATCAGAGTTAAGAAAACTCAAAGCTTAGTGTGGGTGCATCGTATGCTAATGCAGTAAAGGGTATACCTCCAATAATAATTAAGCAAAAAAATAAGCAAGCGGCTGAGAAAACTAGGGTGGATCATAATAAAATCGAATTGACAAAGTGTCTAATTAGCAGAATGGGGCGGTTGTAATAAATGCCAACAGTGTTACTGAGAAAGAGAAAATTAAATCTACTCTAGCTAATAATCTTAATAAGGAACAATATGAGATCTCTGAACCTAAAATGAACAAGCTAAAAATACTGATAACCCGTATAAACGCTGAATACACTGAAGCAGAGGTCATAACCAAAATAAAATCACAGAATATGTACTTGGCTGATGCAAACTTAAAATGTTTAAAAGTATTTAAGTCAAAAATAACGTGACTTCAACATCATTTAATTCATTAATCGAGGTAGAGCATAAAGTCTTTGTGCAGGTCCTAGAATCTAAGAGATTGAATATTGGTTGGGACCGCTGCCCAACTTATAGCGAAAAGATGTTATAAGTGCTTAGGTTTCAATCATAGTGCTAATAATTGCATAAACAAACTACGATGTAGTTAATGCATGGGTGAACATAAACCCGAAAACTGCACTGAAAGAATTACGAAACCAATGTGTGGCAATTGCTGCGATGCTAATAAAGATTTAGGATTACAATTAAACAGAGAGCATAGTGTATTTAGTAGGGAGTGCCCAGTCTATATAAGAAGATTAAAGGTTGAAAAACAAAAGGTAGGATGTTAGCAATCAAATTCTAGCAAACAGCACCATAGTAATTTGAAATGCGTCTATCTAAATATTAGTAGTATACTAGCTAATAAAGCAGAGCTCGAAAGACTTATTGAGGTGGTTAATCCTGACTTAGTCTTATACCAGGTTCACATATAAGTCGATTATCCTCATTTTCGAGCTTAACACCCTAATCTGTAATTATAACAAGAGATTAGCCATATAAAATTCGTCCCTTGTTAATCTGTAATTATAAAATAATCTCAGATTTAACCGATAACTTTTCGGTGTCCATCCTAGTTTTATCGATTGTTTTTGCGAAAGAGAGGAGAAATGCCAAATGTAAAAGTAAACAAAAATGTACGCTAGCAAGTAAAAGAGGTTTGTAAAGGTATTTTTAATAAAATGTTAAGTTAAAATATATTTATATTGCTCATTATAGCAGAAAAACGTGATCACGGTGGCACAGAGAAAAACATAAATTTTCCTTGAGATGTGAGAATAACAAGCACAACAAATTTGACGGCTAATAATCTGAGATTTGCCTGTGTAAACGGGGTGATTAAAAAACGAGCTTTGATTGATATAATATTGATATGTGAACATAGTTTTATGCTCAGAAACGTGTATAACAGATGAAATTAATGATTCAGAAATAAAGTTTCCAACGTTCCACGTAATAAGGTGTGATTCGCACCGTAGATACACAGGCGGTGTAATTATAAACTTGCGAGGCACAATTGATTTCAAAATAAAAACAAATCGATCCGTCAATAAAAATATATAGTGCATAGTTATACAATTACAAAATTGTGTAAAGAGGTGTCAAATCGGTGTGGTTTATCACTCACCTAGTACAAGTGATGCAGATTTCCTGACCTATATGGAGGCCATTCTGCCTGAAACATGTGATAATATGGTAGATATTATCATAATCGGGGATTTCAATATAAACCTTAACGTAATATCAAGCTATAATAGGAAACTCAATGAGATCTTCGCTCACCTAGCTATGAAATTTTTACGCGGGTTACCGAGTATTCCGAAACACTCATTGACTTGTTGTATACTAATAGCAGAGAGGTATCATGTGAAAAGTTGGAACAACAAAGAATATCGGATCATGAAACTATACTGTTTCGATGTAATGTAAATAAGCCTAAGTCACTCTCAAAACTGTCAGAAGTAACATCTTGGGATAGGTATAGCCCCGATAACTTATTACATCTCTTGAGACAATGCAACTTTGTGAGCTTGCATAGTTTGGATACTGAGGGTATGCTGGAGTATATTAACCAAAGCATGATGCCGATCATGAATCAGGTAACATATAGGAAACAAAATCGTATCAAATTAAGAAATAAATTGTATGATAGGGAGTTAGTATAAACCAATAAAATGAAGTTTAAGTTATATGAAAGGGCCCCTTTGACAGGAGACTGGGCAGAATACAACGTGGCTAAAAAAATTATAAGAAATTGATTAAAGTTAAAAAAAAAATACAGCATCATGAACACAAAGTTGAAGAAAATAGAGGGAACAGTCGATTAATGTGGAAGTACTTAAAAAATGTACTCAATAATGCAGACAACAAAGAAAAAATCAAAGAAGTGCTAATAAGTGGCACGCTATACGATGGCAGCTGGGAAATCGCAGAGCATTTAAACAAATTCTTTGTGAACAGTATTATTGAGATTAACAGTAATATACAAGACATTGGTGATGACTCAATCCAGCCGGTAAAATCTTAAACGACATTTGAATTTGAAGAAGTTAGTACGGAAAATATCATCCAAATTGTTAAGAAATTTAAAAGAAAAATTGGTGGAAATAACTTACTATCGGAGGGTGTCATTAAATACTCAGTTGAATACATGGGCCATTTCTACGCGTTTTTAATAAATAAGAGTCTGCAATCTGGAACTGTACCGAACGAATGGAAAACTTCGACAATAGTTCCAGTGAAAGAAGTAAAAAATGCGATAAAAGCTGAGGAGTTTAGGCCAATTAACACCCTTCCCAATATGGAAAAAATCCTAGAGACGGTTGTAAAAAACCAATTGGTACATTATGTTCAGTGCAATAATATACTCATAAAAGAGCAATCAGGGTTCAGGGCTTAGCATTCTTGTGAGACTGCACTGAACTTTGTACTGTCACAATGGAAGGAGGACAGAATTGGAGGATTGACAGGACTATAATGTTGAAAAAACTTGAAGCTATTGGTATAGAAAACATTGAGCTGGCCTGGTGTCGAAGTTTTCTTTCAGATTGTAAGCAACAAACACTAATTGAGTCAAAAATGTCAAAAACGGTAGCAGTAAATATCGATATGCCTCAAGGATCGGTTTTTGCTCCAATACTTTTTAACATTTACATTAATGATATAAATACGGTACTGAAATACTAGTGGTATTCATCTAAACCGATAACTTTATCAAGCAGATAATCTTATAAGTTAACGCACTCTGTTACATGAGCGACCCACACTCTCTTTTCGTTTACACATGCGACAATAGTCGTGTTTTCTTTGGTTATAGAGCTCAGTATCACTAACTTTATACTACTAGCACGAGGATAAAGAAATTATAGAAACTAACTCACTAAATGAGAAAAAATTATATTTACGAGATAATCAGCCTTATCATGAGTTTCATTTTCCCCGAAACAGTTCAGTTTTCACTCTTGGTTTCCAAGGTTTTACTATGGGCGGATGACGAATTTTCGGGTGAATTTTTTTTCAATAATAAGGATAAGGCAGAATATGTATTTAAATAAATATATATNAGAAAAAATTATATTTACGAGATAATCAGCCTTATCATGAGTTTCATTTTCCCCGAAACAGTTCAGTTTTCACTCTTGGTTTCCAAGGTTTTACTATGGGCGGATGACGAATTTTCGGGTGAATATTTTTCAATAATAAGGATAAGGCAGAATATGTATTTAAATAAATATATATATAACATAAAGGCTATTTATTTGAAGAAAGTTAAAAGAAACAATGGCAGAATGTCTGTTTGTGTATGAATTCATTTGTCACGGCTACCAAACTTTGCGGCCAAATTATCAGTGAAACAAAGCAAACAGAACGTATAATAATTGAACCAGATCTCTGTCAGGATCACAACGTTGTTGTTAAATTTGCGTGCAAAATTTTTATGCGGATCTCGATTATTGCCTAAGAAAACATAGCTGAGTTGCGACAGAGTTGTATTGACTTCAGTTTATCAAGTTTATTCAGTGAAATCGCCGGAGAAATTTATCAGGAATGTGTAAACGAGTTTCCATACAAATTTTGACAGTTTATTTATAAGGTTTACACAATTATAAGTTTATACGGTTTACAATGCATTTATAAGGTTTAATGAATACCCTTACTGTAAAATAAAACTATTCGCGGATGATACGCTTCTAACCATCAGTGACAGAAACATACCAAATGCCATAGCTAAGATGCAGGAAGATCTTAACTCCTTATATAAATGGTTATGTTTAGACAAACTTGAAGTGAATGAGAAAAAGACATAGTTCACGGTCTTATCTAGGGTGTCTAATGCGAACTCTTTCAACTAAATCTTAAAAATCAGAGATGAAAAGCTCGAGGAGGTAAAAATCATTAAATACCTAGGTATATACATTGATAATAAGTTAAAATTCGATGAGCATGTTGATTATGCAGCAAATAAAATTGCTAAAAAATTGGCCTCATGAAAAGATAATGTAAGTACCTAGGAAGAAGATATAAAACATTAGTGTATAGGTCTATAATAGAACCACACTTCATATATTGTCAAACGATCTTTTTCATGGCAGGCGACACACAAATCGACAAGTTACATAAAATGCAAAACAGAGCAATGTGATTTATACTGAATAAGCGTCACGATGCACCCACACGAGAGATGCTCGCCTTTATAAACAGGCTGAGTGTTAAGCAGCAAATTATTATCACGCCATGAAATTCGTATTCAATATAAATAATGGTCGGTTGTCGGACTACCTGAGCCACAATCTCAGATATATAAATGAAACTCATTCATACATACTCAAGGAAAATAATAGCTTTTGATTGCCGTTATATAGGACAGAAGTGGATAAAATGAACATATTCTACAAACGATTAAAGTGTTTTAACGAACTACCGCCACAACAAGAAATTGTGAAAGCATTGCCAGTTTCAAGAGATCATTACTTGATCACTGTCGAACACTACCTATCAGATAGAGGCTCGGCATGGAAAAAAAATCCTTTCCATCCGGCCGGCTTGCTCTGGATCCAATACCCTCAGAAAGCTTGCTGAATCTCCAAATCCTGACAGAGTCGAAACACCATTCCCCGAAGCACCGTCCTCCTACCCTATCAAATTGTGTTGCTCTGGATCTAGTCCATTCAGACAGCGTGTATAACATCGGAAATNACCCTCAGAAAGCTTGCTGAATCTCCAAATCCTGACAGAGTCGAAACACCATTCCCCGAAGCACCGTCCTCCTACCCTATCAAATAGTGTTGCTCTGGATCTAGTCCATTCAGACAGCGTGTATAACATCGGAAATCCTGATCGAACCGAATCAACAATATGGGAAGTGAGGGTGCAGATTAGAAACTAGTCCTTTCCAACTGCCCAAACAACTGAAGCTACAATATGAGAAGTAAAGGTGCAGATTGGAAACTAATGCTTTCCAACTGCCCTAACAACTGAAGCAGCAATGTGAGATGAAATGTGCAGATTGGAAACCAGTGCTTTCCAACTGCCCTAACAACTGAAGCAGCAATGTGAGATGAAATGTGCAGATTGGAAACCAGTGCTTTCCAACTGCCCTAACAACTGAAGCAGCAATGTGAGATGAAATGTGCAGATTGGAAACCAGTGCTTTCCAACTGCCCTAACAACTGAAGCAGCAATGTGAGATGAAATGTGCAGATTGGAAACCAGTGCTTTCCAACTGCCCTAACAACTGAAGCAGCAATGTGAGATGAAATGTGCAGATTGGAAACCAGTGCTTTCCAACTGCCCTAACAACTGAAGCAGCAATGTGAGATGAAATGTGCAGATTGGAAACCAGTGCTTTCCAACTGCCCTAACAACTGAAGCAGCAATGTGAGAATAAAGGTGCAGATTGGAAACAAGTGCTTTCCAACTTCCCTAACAACTGAGGCAATAATATGAAAAGTGAAGGTGCAGATTGGAAACTGGTCCTTTCCAACTGCCCTAACAACTGAGGCAAAATATGTGAAGAGAAGGTGCAGATTGGAAACTGGTCCTTTTCAACTGCCCTAACAACAGAAGCAATAATATGTGAAGAGAAGGTGCAGATTGGAAACTAGTCCTTTCCAACTGCCCTAACAATACGGCCTGGAAGTTGCCTGTCTAGATCACTTGTCTAGTTTGCCTGCTCTGCCGTATAATTGGGAACTGCAATTGCGTTTTCTTGGAATTTCGGACCTTGTACTCGATTATTCAAATAAATTGAAGTGGAAGGTCGGAACTTTTTGGAGGTGGCAATTGCATATTTTAATTCATACGGCCAAATATAGACATATGTAATATAATATATATATAGTTTTCGTATACATAATTTTATATTTAATTGATAATTTTAGCAATAAGATCATTACAATTCATATACGTACGTATGTACGAATATCATAGTTGTATTATTAAGTCGTAAGACTGTAACAAATAAATAAATAAATAAATGTAGTAACTTGACTTATCTTGTAACGTAGCTTAGCCTACGCTACAATAACATATTCAACATCACCCTAGCATGCGCTTACAACTGCACATAGATACAAATATATTAACATACATACATACACTCAGGTAGACGTACACACAAACTAACACACCAATGAGACTAAAAGCACTCCTACGTACGTACATACGTATACACAAAGCTGGCACGGCAAGCGCGTACAAATTTCGCAAATACCAACTTAGACCACCCGGCGCACTAACATTCCAGATATTCGTTACGCAAAACACAAAATGCGGAATAAGCCCGCTCACTCCTCAAACAGTTCATATAAAGCCGGAGCTAAATCTGTCAACATGAACTCAGCCAGCATCACTTGTCTGTAGGTAAGCACGGAGCGTATCCGGGGCTTCGGGCCTATTTGGGGCGCTCTTGGCTTTCCTCCTCGGAGGGAGACTGACTGGTTGAAGGGTGACTGCAAGGGGGTAATACCCCCCAGGCAACATTACAAAACCATTATGGGCTAGATCCATTTTGGACCGTTTGGGCTTGCCCAATTCCGAGCACACCTTCCAGCTTGCAGTACAGCGCGGCTAGCGGGCGTTGAAGGGGGTGAACCACCCCCTGCAGTGCCTAGCTGCCACGAATACATACGGGGGACCGGGCATCCTTTCGACGCCCTGGGGGGCCGCACTAACGATCAGTTTTCCGTAGGTCACCAATCTGGACCGAGATCGCTACCGAGGTCCGCCCGCAAACATTACCGCTAATCGTACTCGCTGCCATTCAGGGCCGCCGCAATAATCATCATCAATGTTAGGGCCCGTACTGCTGCTCTCATCACCGGGGCCGCTATCACCACCGCCGCCCCAAGGCCGAAGGTACAACCGTGGCCGCCCGCCATTATCACCGAGGACTGCGAACGCTAACTATCGCCAACCAGGGCCGCGGTCACCGTCACTACCATCAGGGCCGCTGCTGCTGTCTTCATCACTGGGGCCGCTGCAATTATCATCGCCCCAGGCTGCCGCTACTACCCGTCACGAGTACGG